AGGGCCTTGTTACCCTGCTGGGGTACAGAGTGAGGGAAGGAAAGGGGTAGAAAACGAGGTTAGGTGCAACGGAGCTGAGCTTCTTCTCCACCAGAACCAGCTTCTAGGTTTGGAAAGGGATTTCCCCAGAGGTCTTGCTAGCTGGTTGGAGGCTCCTGGGCCAGTGCCTGAGCTGAGACCAGCTGTGGTCCTAATAAGCGCTCCTGAGGTTGTTAGAGCAAATGTAGAAAGTTGAATTTTTCCTCTCGTTCTCTCCCCATCTTTCCCACCCCATTGCCCCTACCTTCCCAGGCCTTCCACTGCCTATGTTTCTAATCTTCAGTTTTGTCCCTCGTTTTTATAGATTATGATTTTGGAGATGTGTTTCCAGCAGTGCCGTCTGTACCCAGCACAGACTGGGAAGGTGGGGCAGAGTCCGCTGTTTACCCTCTTATCCTGTTTTGCGACATTTCCATGCCAAGCTTGCTGCATGTTTCAAAATCAGCTCCTTGTTATTTATAATAATGTCTGTGATCCTACTAAAGCCCAGTTGGTGTTCTGGTAGATGGAATTCTGCAGTAGGAGAACTTGCCCCAGTTTAGCTCCAGGCGAATCCCCTCTCCTGGTGCAGGACAGCTGCCTTTACGCAGTGGCCTGTGGAGTCACCAGGTGACTATCTTTCAGGGGACATGCGGATCACCCTTCCTGATCTGATGCGAGTCAGTGCAGTGCAGGTGGGTAGAGGCACACTCGGTGAGTGCCCTAGTGGCCCAACGCAACGAGTGAGACTTGTTCTGGAAAACCATTCATTTAACATGTGGGTTGTCAACTCCTTTAGGTCAGACAGGCTCCTGTGCCAGAGCATCAAGGAGCAAAGACAGAGGGTTTGGTTCTTTTTCAGTCGACTCAGGATGGTTTCCTCCCTAGTATTTTTTAAAAAGATTGAGGTCCAGTTGAGGGAAATTGCCCAGGCACAGCTGAAACTTCCAACGGGGAGATTGTTTTTGAGGTTTTAAGACAGATTACAATAAAATCTGTCACCCTGCCACTCTGTCTACTGGGCAGCAGCCATGCTTGGGCGTTTCCTTGCCCGCAACTCTACTTCTGGGCATGTGTACATTCACAAAGCTATTTACCAGGTTCCCATGATTACTCAGCGCCAAGGGCATGTTTCTGACATTTATGGTCCCACCTTAAATCTGAGGCTATAATCACCTCGCCTGTACTGAAACGCCTCTTGCCCTGTGGGCTGGTTCCAGCCTGGAGCCCAGCCTCATGAAGGGGGAGGTGCCAGGCATCTCACCCGGTGGGAGGATGAGGGACAGGCACTGTCCCCACCACTTGGAGCTGCCTGCTTCCTTCTTAGACCCGGGATCTCTGAGTAATGGATAACAGGTGACCTTTTTCCAAGCACTGTGAGTATGGAATAGCTTAACTTTGAGAGAAACAAGATATCACATTGGGAAAAATCAATTACATTATCTAGCCAAGAGAGTAGCATTGAAGAATCCCAAGTTCAGATTAGCTTAAAATCCAGAATTCCATCATAACATCATTTATTCCCTAAGCCTCTCTCCTTGCAGCACACATGCTGGGCATAGACTTTTTTTTTTTTTTTCCCTCTGATTCTAACAACTAACCTTCCTCCTGACCCAGCTACTTCCTGCCTGTTGTAGTCACATGACAAGAGGCCTGACCGCCCTGTGCAGCCCTCCAGAGCTCCCTGTGGCCTGAGAACTAACAGCCCATGTTGCACTGCTTGCTGGGGCAGGGCTGAGCCCTGGGGCAGGGTGAGATTTGTCCCCGCAGGGGTCTCCTGCCTTCCTAAATTCCTCAAGCACCAGAGAATTCCTGAGCACTCTCTGGCAGCCCACCTGAAGAGGCTTTGTCTTCTTCTCCTTGGACCTGGAGGAAAACAGGGTTTGGGGGCAGTGCCAAACTCAGGGCTCTAGGGGTAGGGAATTGGGGTCACCTTTCCATGGTCCTTGGCTTATTTTCAGAATGAGTGGCTTCCTAACCTGGACGCCCAGCACGACAGGTCATCTGCTTACTCACCTCTCAGGACTCCTCCCATGAGCAACTGCAAATGTCGAAGAGACTCACAAGGGCTGGGCAAGAACAGAGGGCTTTGTAGGGCCCTCTTTGGGGCCAAAGGGCATGGTTTTCTGCATCTGAGAACTGAGGCTCTAGGGTACCAGGAAATCTTAAGAAAGCCTTATGTATCGCTCGAGCATTTTCTAGCAAAGTTAGCAGTTGCCTTTAGCCCCCTCCTTTGTCCTTATATTAAAAGACTGTACTTAAAAAAAAAAAAAGGACAGCGTCAACTATCTATATGGGATCAAACTGACAACAGCAACTCAGAAGATTAGATAGGAACCTTAGGGGGCAGTGAGTTTATGTTAATACGGGAGGAACAATTCGGAAAAGGAGGGTGAGAATGGTTACACAATTTGACAAACGTAATCAATGTCACTGAATTGTATTATGTAGAAATTGTCGAATGGGTGTATGTTCTGTTGTGTACATTCTCAACAACAACAAAAAATAAAATACATTTTTTTAAAAAAGCAAGACATTTAAAAAAAAAAAAAGACAACGTGCTGTGTCAACAGGCTGCTCAGCGGCTTCTAAGGCCTACGCAGAAGTTGATAGCAGGTTGGGCCCTTCTAGACAGGGCTATAGGGAGCGTGTTTGCCACGTCTTCTCTGGGCAGTTAATGGCCAGCAAGATGTGTGTAAACTGGCAGATGGAGTGTGAACGTCCTGCATCCCTTGCCATTAGACCTCACCCAGGCTGTTCCACATGCCAGACCTCAGCTCTCTGCTGGGGCATCTCCCATCTGCCACCAGAGAAATGTCCTGTGGACTTTTCTTCCTGGCCCTCTGCTGCCTCTCCCTGCCCAGCTCCTGGGACAGGGAGGGAGCTGCTCAGCTAGCTCCTCTCTGGACAGGCAGCTTCTCCCACACCGTCTCTCCTGCCTTCTCCTGAGGATGGAGCCAGGGTGAGGGCGTGGCCCAGAGAGGACCTGGAGATAAGCTGAGGATAGAATAAGATTGAGTTTTCAGCAGCTGCCTTAAAAGGGCACTTGCGCCTGCCCCCCTGGGAGGGTGCTGGTGGGATGTCAGGGAGAAGAGCAGCCTCCGAAGGGCCCACAAGGCATCTGTTGGGGGCAGCCACTCGGTGCCCCTTTCATCTCCCCTTTGCATCTCGTTCTGCCGTCTCTGTCCTGTCATCTCACTCTCTCCTCTCTGTCCTTGGTTCTGCTCCTCCCCCTGCTCCTTACCCCTTTGGCTCCCCATCCTCTCTGACCCACTCCATACCCCTTGTTTTCTCTGACCCCTCTTCTCTCCCTTCTGTTCTTCTCTCTTCCTTTGAGCTCCTCTTTAGCTGCCTCTGCATGGGACCCTTCCGAGGAACCTTTGGGGATTTCTCCACCCTGCCAGTGGGCCTGTGGGGCTAAGGGGCTGCTGGGTACCCCTCTAACATCTCTGGCAGGTGGGCTGTCAGGTTAACCTAAGAGCTGTGTGGCCCATCTCCTCTTTGTGGATCCCAGCTCCCTTGGAGGTATGCAGGTCACCATCGCTGAGGGACTTAGCCTATGCTGCTTAACCCTGGGGTTCTTAACATGAACTCAGCCAAATCGTTGTGTGCTCTCGAGGGCCCCCAGTGGTTATGGCGATGGCAGCTTCTCCAAGCTGCTGTTAAAGTACAACACTACTTCCTGTTGGGTGGGACTTCCACTCTTGAGATAAGGCCACCTGCCTCCCTCCTGAGATCAGGTAGACTTGAGGGGTCTGGGGCCCCTAGATGGTGTTTGATGGGCTGTCTACCATGTTCTTGTTCTCCCAGATGGAGACCTCACAGACACTGTCAGTGGCCCCCACTCCACGGCCTCAGACCTGACCAGTAGCAAGGCTTCCACCAAGAGTCCCACCCAGCGCCACAATCCCTTCAATGAGGACCACGGCGAGGGCATGTCCTCCTCCGACACCACCCCTGTGCACACCACCTCCCTGGAGAAGGAAGAGTCCCAAGCCCTGGATCTGCTTGAGGCCTGTGCCGAGCTTGAAGTCATCAGGTCAGTGGTGGCGGTGGAGGGTGCGGGGGGAGTCTTGTCCACTTCCAGCCTCATGTTTTTACTTCAGGGCAGGCTGGGACTCCCCTGTGGGCAGTCAGGGATCCCCCTAAAGAATAAGAAGTAGCCTTCACCTTTGTAGTTCTTTGAGCATCAGGAAACAGGGCCCCCACCCTGGGACAGGTAGCACCGGGTGCAACCACGGCTGGCTTCCGTGCCCAGGCTGCCAGGGACATTTGTCCATCTAGGACCAGAAAGCCCTCTCCAGGCTGGCCTTCCTTCCAAGGGATTTCTTGGAAGTTGGTGCACAGTTTCTGTGATTTGTACTAATTCTAGTTCAGCCTGGGTCCTTGAAAGAAAAGTCACTTCGCCATGTCACCAGGGACATAGAAGGAAAAGAGGAGGTGAATGACAAGGAGGAGACTCTTGGCTCACTACCTTCTCGGCTCCCCAACCTCCCCTGGCCCCGGCTCTTGAGACTTGTAGCCAGGAACAGGAAGGGAGGCCGTGTGTGCACTGTTTAGCCTTCTGGGGGCTTGCTGGCCCAGGGGTGGGGGTGGCTCCCCAGGACTGGAGCCAGGAGTCCCACTCCCACAGGCTGGTTCCAGTGCAGAGCAGCCTTACTGGTTCAGACCTGAGCAGCTTAGCCAAGCCCACTCCAGCCAACTTGAAACCAAAGAATGGGGGGTAGGAGTTTGAGCCCAGAAAAGTACATTTCTGGGTGATGTATCCATGATGATAACTAATGGGCTGCAAGGTCAGCTCAGGGTCCATTGCCAACAAACATCCTAGGGAAGGGCTGAGTGGAGGAGGCCATTGGTCTGACCAGCCATGGTGTGCTTTTGTTTCCCAGTGGGTATGAAGCACAGCTAGCTCAGTTGTTCCCATCAGCTGGACTTCCATAGGACTTGCTCTGGGATCCCTCTGGCTGCTGCTGTCTTGCCTCCCTTGTGTTGCTCCCCAGCCTTCCCGGCCATCTCTGGGCCTTGGCCGCTGCTGCCTGCTGGCTGGGGCCTCCCTTCTAGCACTGCCCAGAACCACTGGCGCTCTGGCTGTGCTCTCTGAGGCCGCGTGCCCAGTATCGTCTCTTTGACCCAACCTGTCTAATTTCCCTCAGTACCTCAGTACTCAGATGTTCAGTCTCTCCCCATCACTGTTGTCCTAGGGTCACCAAGAAGAAGAAAACTGGCAAGAAGAAGAAAACCAAATCAGATGAGGAAGCAAGTCCTCTTCACCCAGCCTCCACCCAGCAGAAATGCGCCAGGCACGGGGATGGCCCAGGCCATGGGCAGGACTCATCAGACACCACCCTGGCTTCACCCCCGGAGGAGGGCGAGGGGCCCGGCAGTACAGCTGAGAGCAGCGAGGGTGCAGAGCTTGGCCACATGGGTCTGCTCATCCCTGCAATGAAGGACACCTCCATGGAGCGCCTGGGGCAGCCTCTGAGTAAGGTCATCGACCAGCTGAATGGTCAGCTAGACCCCAGCACCTGGCACTCCCATGCACAGCCCCCGAACCAGTCCTTTCGGACCGGCTCTCCCGGGGATGCCCCGGAGAGGCCACCATTTTGTGACTTTAGTGAGGGGCTTCCAGCCCCAATGGACTTCTACCGCTTTACCGCCGAGAGTCCAAGCACTGCTGCATCAGGTGGTGGCCACCATGACCCTGCAGGGCCTGGCCAACCGCTGCATGTTCCTGGTAGCCCTGCGGCTGCTGGCCAAGAAGAGGAGAGAGGAGGAGAGGGACAGGCGCCTCGACCCCTAGAGGACACCTGTGGGGAGGCTCGGGAGCCAGAGACCCAGGAACTGGAGACCCAGTTGCCACTGGTCAGTGAGGGACCGGTGCTTGGGCCAGAGCCTGGGACCCAGGAGGCTATCTGCCGGCTCAGGCGAGACCAGCCCAGCCCGTGTCTGAGCAGCGCAGAGGACTCTGGGGTAGATGAAGGGCAGGGGAGCCCTTCTGAGATGATCCACTCATCAGAGTTCAGGTGAGCAAGTTATCTGTGCAGCTGGTGGGGGAGACTCCCAGTCCTTGGAGCTGGGGGCACTGGGCCTCTGAACCCCAAAGAAGTTAAGTACCAACTCCTGGAAGACCTCACTGGGGTTGGGAGGCAGAAAAGGGTGCGATCTCCCTCCCTAACTTGGGCTCCTGGTGGAAGGCAGAGCCTCTCCCACCCAATGCCGGCCTGACCCCTCCCCACACTTGTCCCTCTCACAGAGTAGACAACAATCACTTGCTCCTGCTGATGATCCATGTGTTTCGAGAAAACGAAGAACAGCTGTTTAAAGTAAGTCCCAGGAACTCAAGAATGAGCAAGAGAGGAAACCCAGCAAAGGGAAGGTGGGACGGCCCATTTGAGAAGAGACAGGCTTCCTAGGGCGGGGCCAGGAGCCTGTCCCTGACCGGCTTCTGCTCCGGCCCTCAGATGATCCGGATGAGCACCGGGCACATGGAGGGTAACCTGCAGCTGCTGTACGTGCTGCTCACAGACTGCTACGTCTATCTGCTCCGCAAAGGTACCTGTGGCCCCCAGGCGGGGCCAGGACATCTGCTGGGGATGGGGTGAGGATGAGACTGCCTGCTGCTGCTTTCCCCAGTCACCCCACGCCCTCTGAGCATCTCTGGGCTGCCTGTGCGTGGTCACGGAAAGGCACTCCAGAAAGCTGTTGCTAGTCCCAGCAGCCCAAGGCATGAGCCTGTCGCCTCCCCTCCATGCCAGTTTCCTACTCCATCCTTTCAGATTGCAGGGCGACGAGGGTCCTCTGAGAAAATGGGGAAGGGGGAGGGACAAGAGGCCATTTTGGGGGTAATGGCACTGGGGTCTCCTCTCTCAGGGGCCACAGAGAAGCCATACTTGGTGGAAGAAGCCGTTTCTTACAATGAACTTGACTACGTGTCGGTGAGTTCAGGCTCCATATTTGTGGCTGCTGAGAGCTGTAGAACAAGCCATGCCCCCGACTTTGCCCCCAGGGCTGATGCCAGCTTATCCCTCAGAGAAGCCTCTGCACATGGTGCTGGGATGAGACCAAGCTTGAGGAGGCCACTTCCTTGGTATTGATTCTGACCACCTCTCCCCAACTCAAGCCAGGGCCCCAGGCCTCTGGGGGCTTTACTTCCTCAGACCCCCGAGTGTGCGTTTCCCCTCCCCATCCGGCCCTCAGCCGAGCGTGGCTGCCTCTTCTGCGGGCAGCGGCCGGAGCCACATGTGTGTCTGAGCACATGGTCTCTGGCAGGTCGGCCTTGACCAGCAGACGGTGAACCTGGTGTGCACCAACCGCAGGAAGCAGTTTCTGCTGGACACAGCTGATGTGACCCTGGCTGAGTGAGTGTCACTCCCGTCCCCCGCAGCAGGACTGGACATCCGCCCTTGGGGGTGAGGGTGGGAAGTGGGAGACAAAGAAGTGGAAAACAGAGCTATGTGCCCCCTGGAACCCGCAGTCTGGCCAGAGAGGTGGGAAAGTGAAGTCACACTGACTCCTTGACGCCTGTGGTTTACCCAGATGACCTCAGACCCTCTGTGACCCACAGAGAAAGGGCCTGGCATGACTTACCCAGTAGGGCTGCTGGCCCATGGTGCACCTTCAGATGCTTACGTGTGAAAATGACGTGCAAGAAGATCATGTTGTACTGGGATGACCTGACTTAATGGTCCCATCGTAGAAGTCCTGCTGGCTGCCACCTTGTGCATCCTTTTCTCAGTGTCAAAATCCAAGGCTCCTTGGCCATTGGGACTGTTTAGGCCTTTTCCAGGTCACGGTTTGATGGCCCCAGGTGACCACTGACTCCAGCCAGATCCCTCCGTGGAGTCTCTGCAGCCCTCTCAGGCCAGGAGCCCTCAGGCCTGAACCCCGTCCAGTGGAGGGTGGGGTGAGGACTCCCCAGGCCTCTGACAACAAGCCACACTCCCCATGCAGGTTCTTCTTGGCTTCTTTGAAGTCAGCTATGATCAAAGGCTGCCGGGAACCACCCTACCCCAGCATCCTGACCGATGCCACCATGGAGAAGCTGGCCCTGGCTAAATTTGTGGCTCAGGAATCTAAGTGTGAGGTAAGAACCTGGGAGGAAGGGGCCTAGTCCCTGAGATCCGGTCCTCTGCTGGCCAGCCCTGGTATTAGCACTAAGTGGTACAAATAGATTCTTTAGCATTTCTCAATCACCCATCTGTGAGGGCTCTCCAGTGTCAAATCCTGTCCCCCTCCCAACTAAGGTGTGTCCTGAGGTTAAACATCCTTGCTTTCTCAGTGGCCATTCCTGATCCTGGGCTGTCAGTGAGCTCGACCCTGGCTCAGCCACCTGCCTGGCCCAGAGCTCACCACTCTGTCCACTTCCGCAACCCCAGGCATCCACTGTTACTGTGCGCTTCTACGGGCTTGTGCACTGGGAGGACCCCACAGATGAGTCCTTGGGCCCTGTCCCCTGCCACTGCTCACCCCCCGAGGGCACCATCACCAAAGAAGGCGTGCTGCATTACAAGGCGGGTACCTCCTACCTGGGCAAGGAACACTGGAAGACCTGCTTCGTGGTGCTCAGGTGGGAGCCCTCACAGCTCCAGGCCTCCGCCTCGGGCCCAGGGCTATGGGGCTGTCAGGTCCTCAGCAGGGGCTTTGGAGTAGACATACCCTGGAATATTAGAACTTCTCTGTAGAGTCAGCCATCTGTGGGACCCAAGGAATCCCAGAATGCCTCAGGTGAAGACCTAGGCTAGGCCCCATTGGATGCACCTTTAGGCCTGAGGAGGAGCATTCCCTGCTGTCCTCTGTAATTCTTTCTTCACCTCCCTTCCATAGAAGACAGGTTCCTAGCCTCCTTGGCCTCTGAGGTTTATGGGGGCAGCCCCTGGGACCTGGGCTCTGCTTGGGCCCCAATTCCTTGGAAAGGTCTCACGCTGTTGTGTTGGCCCCTGCAGCAACGGGATCCTCTACCAGTATCCAGACCGCACTGACGTCATCCCTCTGCTGTCGGTGAACATGGGGTGAGCTACGGGCGATGGAGGGTGGGCAGGCGTTGGGGCCTGAAAGCCAAGACTCCAGCTTCCCTGGGCCCAGCATTCCCATCCCCCTGTTTGGAGATGGCTCCCCCTCTTGTCAGGTCAGCCTCTCTCTCAGCCCTACCCTATCCCCCTGGGCTTGGCCAAACTCTGAGTGCTGCAGGGAACCTATTGTAGTCTGATAGGGGAGGCATTCCCTTCCCTGAGAGTTCCGAACCAGATGGGGACATGGACACACACACATACTTAGAATAAACATCGAGCCCCATCAAAGGGACTCTTCGTGAATATGCACCAGTGCCAGCAGGCTGGAGCCAAGAGCCGATCGCACCCTCTTGCCTGGCCATGCTTAAGTACCTTGAAGGATCTTGGTGATACTGAAAATAGAACATGTCCCGCGGAAAGGGGTGGAGCTTTAAACCTCTCCTGAGGCCCAGGGGTTTAGACAGCCTTCCAGATCCTCCGGCCCTCGGGATTGGGGCAAGCCCTGGTGTTTGCCCACCTTGGGCCAGCCCCCAGGGCTCTCACCGTGCCAGCCCTGCCCCTCGCCTTCCATTTCACCCTCCTCCTCTGGCCCAGGGGGGAGCAGTGCGGTGGCTGCAGGAGGTCCAACACCACGGATCGGCCCCACGCCTTCCAGGTCGTCCTTGCTGACCGGCCCTCCCTGGAGCTCAGCGCTGACAGCGAGGCGGAGATGGCCGACTGGATGCAGCACCTCTGCCAGGCCGTGTCCAAGGGGGTGAGCTCCTCGCGTCCCTATCATCCCCTCGGCCTGCATGACCCCAGCCAGGACCCCAGGGTTGCTTCCCAAAACCCACACAGCCATGGGGCAGCCAGGGAGAGCTGAGACAGGTGGCCTCAGGGGGCAGCCCGGAAGCTGACCCTGGAACTCAGGGCCACCGCAGCCTGGCCCGCTTCCACCATCACCCCCTCCCCACACCTAAACTCCTGAGGTGGGTAGAGCCTCCCTGACCTCTAGAGGGTGGGGCAAAGGGGCTGGGAGACCTTTCCAGAGCAGCCCTAGAGAGCACCACTAGCTTCTCCCCTGACCCTCTGCTGATGCTCTCCCAGGTCATCCCCCAGGGGGTAGCACCCAGCCCCTGCATTCCTTGCTGCCTGGTCATCACTGACGACCGCCTCTTCACATGCCACGAGGATTGCCAGACCAGCTTCTTCCGCTCCCTGGGCACAGCCAGGCTGGCTGACATCAGCGCCGCATGCTCTGAGCCGGGCAAGGAGTACTGTGTCCTGGTGAGCCGGGAGGCGGTGTGGCGGCAGGCCCTGCAGAGGAGCTGGGTCTGCTCACCAGAGGCCTTCTCTCCCCAGGAGTTCTCCCAGGACGGCCAGCAGCTCCTCCTGCCCTGGGTCATCTACCTGAGCTGCCCTTCTGAACTGGACCGATTCCTGTCTGCATTGGGTGCTGCGTGGAAGACCATCTACCAGGTAGCTCGCTGCCTCGGAAATGTGTCAGCTGGAACCCTGGGGGGTGGGAGCCATTTTCTGGGGGAGGAGGCCCCCAGCTGCTCCTAGGAGCTGGCCCTGCTTGGCAGACTGAGGCTGGAGCTGAGGGCCCTGCCTCTAGGGTCCTGGAGACAGCAACATGCCAATAACTCTGGGACAGACACAAAAATTTAGGACAAAAGAGGCAAAACCCTGAATCCCTGTTGAGTCTGAGGCTAGAGCTGAAAACAGAAGCCAGGAAACCTGATTCTTGACCTCCTCAATTCTAGTCCAAAAGCATGAATGAAGTGCTCACAGTGGGCCTGAGCTGTGCCGAAATGGTGGAGGCCTGAGATGGGCAGGCCACTGCTCACCCACAGAGACACTCATTTAATCCTGGGGTAAAAATGGTTTTGAACACGTGCTGCATACCAGCCCTGGGAAGCTTGGGGCTAGCCTGAGGCAAGAACAGTTCCAGACCCGGCCTTCTGGGTGCACAGCCGATGAGAGTGCAGAGCCCACCTCCCTGGGCCCCCCTGAGAGCTGAGACCTTCCCGGAAGGAAGCACTCAAGGAGCCCCAACTGGCATCAGCAGAGGCCCTGGGCTGCTCCAGCCCCTCCTAGAAGAGAAGGGAGGATTTAGCAGCATGGAAAGGGCTTCTGGGGGAGGCTGACCCTGATGTAGGGGGACTCCATGGCCAAGGCAGAGCCAGGCCTATGCCCAGGCCCCCATGGCTCTGTGGGCGTGCGGCCTAGCACTGCAGTCCCTCAGATCCCCTCACACCCCACAGGTGGACCTCCCACTCAAGGCCATCCAGGAAGCCTCCAGCCAGAAGAAATTCGAGGATGCCCTGAGCCTCATCCACAGCGCCTGGCAGCGGAGTGACAGCCTGTGCCGTGGCAGAGCCTCCCGGGACCCTTGGTGCTGAGGCTGCACTGGTTGGCATCTCTGGTTGAGGGGGAAGAGAGGCACGCTGCCCGGCATGCACACTGTTGACGCCGGGTTGCTGCTGCTCGGGGCCAGGCTGCATGCCATTCTGCAGCTGACTTCTGCCCTGGGCAGCGGGATGCCGAGTGGGGTCTGTCCACCCCCAGGGATCCAGAGCAGGGTGCCCAACACCCTGGCATCCTGCCCAGCAGGCCGTGACTGGAGAGAGAGCTGGGGCAGAGGTCCAAGCCCTGTGGGTTCCACAGTTGCACACGCTCCTCCCGGGGCCCGGTGCCTTCAGTCAGCAGCATCTCCTCAGGATGTCGAGGGGAATAATCTAGACTCTAAGAGGAAAGTGAAAGGAGTGGGAGGGCAGGAGTCCCTTCTTCCTCTCTGTGGGTCAGGGGCCCAGGTAGAGGCTCAGGGCCAATCTGGGGGCCCTGAGCACCTGGCCATCCTTGTTCGTTTTTGAACATTTGGCCTGGCTGTGCAGGGAAGCTGGGACGCTAGTCTCTGCATGGCTGCTTCCATTAGCGCCATCCCCAAGCACCTGTTGCCCACCTTACCAGAGCCCAGGGCCTGGGCCGGGCCGCCAGGAGGCCTTGCATGTCCACAGCCCCTGCCTCTCCCTGCAACCCGGCAGTACCTGAGGACCCAGGAACCAGGCCACTTCCTTTTGCTGGGAGCAAAGGGGAGGGAGAAGGGGCTTCAGCCTGCAGTGTGGTGGCCACATTGACACCTCCACTGACCCACTTGGCTGGAGCCGGGCCCCTCCTGGGAGCTTTGTCACGGCCCTCTGTGAGAAGGGGTCAGGTGGTTTGGGTTTTGTTTTTTAAAATAAAATAGACATGTTATATTGCCATGGCTGTCGTTGGCCCTTTGTTGACCAGCATGGGGGTGGGGGTCCTTCAGTTCATTCATTCCACAAATACCCCTCAACCATCCACTCTGCACACAATACTCAGGATGCACTGGGAGCCAGATCACCATGGCCCGCCTGTGGTGCCCCCGTCTGGAGAAGCTCAGGCCTCCAGGGAGTTTCCCGGCCTGAACTTTGCCCTCCCTCGTTTCCTACAGCCACCCAGCTCCAGTCCCAGGACACATCCCAGGGAAGGGCAGGCCAAGGCCAGGCTCGTGCCTCACCCCTCTGAGGATGAGTGTCAGCCACTCTTGGAGTAAACTTAGCAGAGTCCAAGCTGTCCCTGTGGCCTGCTGAGCTACTACCTCCAGGGGCTGTCCAGAGGGCTGCCAAGCTGCCCATCCCTTGGTGGGACAGGCCAAGGAGCACTGAGGCCTCTTCTGTGTGGCCTTGTAGAAGAGTACAAGTTACCACTGAGCAAGGGCTCCCCACATCCCAGGTACTCAAGGGCCTCACACTGGGCAGGGTGTGGACCCTGGAAGAGGTGGGCATGGAGGCTACAAAGGTGTGGGGGTCTGGGCAGGGTGGGTCCAGTGTTTTGATTTGGACCAAGGTGGGCAGAGTGGCAATGAGCAGACAGGTGCCTGATGGCAGTGCTCAGGATGGGAGTTCCTTTCTTCCCAGGTACCAAAGGGCCATTTGCGTCCAGGGCCCCCCCTCCTGCCCTAACAGCCCCTCCTTCAGGGTGGACAAAGCTGGGACAGGAGCCACAGAGCTCCTGCCTCTCCTGGTATCTGCAGGAGGAGGGGGCAGGCCTGATGGGCAAGTCATTACTGGGGGAGTGAGGAAAGTCACGTGGTCACTTCCGGAGACCCAGGGTTTGGGAGATAGGAACCAGACGCAGCAGGGATACAGGCTACCTTTTATTGGGCAGGGCATTGTGCTAGCCATGCTCTCCACACATCTCTAAACCTCCAAGGAACCTTCGGAAGTAGGTATCAATATCCACATTTTAGCTCTTTGCCGCATCTACTGCAAGAATGAAGACCATTTGCAGCGACCAGACTGGACATCACTCTGAAGGGAAGCACAGTGACTGTGAAGGGCCCCAGAGGAACCCTGCAGAGGGACTCAATCACATCAATGCAGAACGTGGTCTCCTTAGGAAAAAAAGGGGCTTCGGGTTGATGGGAAACAGAAAGGAACTGACTACAGTTCGCACTGTCTGTAGTCACGTACAGAACATGATCAAGGATGTTACACTGGGCTTCCATCACAAGATGACCTCACTTCTCCACCAACGTCGTCATTCAGGAGAGAAGGCCTGTTGTTGAAATGCAAAATTTCTTGGGTGAAAATACATCCGTAGGGTTTGGATGAGGCCAGGTGTTGCCTGTTCAGTATCTCAAGCCCAGAAAGATAAGTTAATTATGAAGGAAACAACGTTGAACTTACATCAAACTCAACTGCTTTAATTCAGCAAGCCACAAACAGTTAAAAACAGTTTTGGATGGTATTGATGTCTCTGAAAAACAAGCAGTTCAACAAGCTGGTGAGTAAGATCTAAGAGTTCTCCAGCTAAGCAAATGAGATACAATAAAATTCATCTGTTAAAAAAAAAAAAAAAATCCCCATTTTACAAGTGAGGGAGACTGAGGCTCAGAGAGGAAATAACTGGCCCAGTGTCACATGTAACAGCAGAGCTTAAGATTCAAAATCAGGTTCTTGGGGGTCTTGGAGCCCTTCTCTACCTCTGCTCCTGCTGATGGAGGGCCCAAAGATTGTGGGAGACGGACTGGAAGACTGAGGCTGGAAAAGAGGAAGTTACACAGACGGTGACCGTGATGGGGTAGGGGCGGGGCAGCTGCCCTGTGCCCAGGGCTCTCTGCTCTGGGGCAGGACTGGCTAAGCCAGAGGCACCAGCACTTCGCCCCAGAGCCCGAGGCAGGGCAGGACGAGAGGCCCAGGCTGACTGGGCACTTCCTCCCACCCCCACTGTCCCTCCAGCCCCTAGTGACCTTTCCCCCAGATCCCAGGCTCCAGGCCCCGCCCCAGCCAGGAGGTTTGGGGTCAGAGGCCGCTGGGATTGGTCAGAGCCAGCCAGGGGCGAGTCCCAGGCTCTGGCCGTCCCTGGGCAGCTGAGCAGAGCAGGTGGACTCCCGAGATAGAGCTGGCCGCTAGGCAGCTGCGGGCTTGTCCCACAGGACCCCTGCCCTCCAGACATAGCCCTGGCCCGCGTTGATCCTCGGCCCGGCGGCCGGCCCTGCGGCCCTGTGGTGGTGCAGACAGCCTAAGCGCAGCACCCCAGGCCCGGAGCCCATGCCCCGACCCGGGCACAGCCAGCCCCTGGCCCTGGAGTCATGGAGACAGTGCCCCCAGCTGTGGACCTGGTGCTGGGCGCCTCAGCCTGTTGCCTGGCCTGTGTCTTCACCAACCCCCTGGAGGTGGTGAAGACACGGCTGCAGCTGCAGGGGGAGCTGCAGGCCCCGGGCACCTACCCGCGGCCCTACCGCAGCTTTCTGGCCTCCGTGGTCACTGTGGCCCGCGCCGATGGGCTGTGGGGCCTGCAGAAGGGGCTAGCCGCCGGCCTCCTCTACCAGGGCCTCATGAACGGTGTCCGCTTCTACTGCTACAGCCTGGCATGCCAGGCTGGCCTCTCCCAGCAGCCAGGTGGCACGGTGCTCGCAGGTGCCATGGCAGGGGCCGTGGGAGCCTTCGTGGGGAGCCCTGCTTACCTGGTGAGTTTGTCTTATTTCATCCACCACCACCCCATGATCTGGGTCCCTCGGGGCCCCTGCATCCTCCAGGGGTTGGGCACAGTAGACCTGAGCAGGGTGGGGCTGGCTGGGTGTGGCTGTTCCCAGGAACACTCCAACCCAGGCCTGGAATCTGCCCCTTGGCCGAGGGTACCTTGCCCTGAGCCTCACTCGCCCGGCATTCCTGTCCTACTGGCTCTGAGCCAAAGAAGAGGGCTGAGGTTCACAGGAGGTGTGATGGCTCAGATCTTAGCATTGTTACCTTTCTTGCCCTGTGGCCTTGTGCAAATTAAGATCAAAAGCATCCACTGAGCAAGGGCTCCCCAAGTCCCAGACATAGGGCTGGGTGCTGGACAGTCATCTCATGTAATCTTCAGAATGCTCTTCCAGGGTGAGGAAATTGAGGCACAGAGGTTAAGTGACTTGCCCAATCACACTAAGATGCACGCCCAGGCTGACTCCAGACCCTCACCCTCAACTCTATTCCACCTGCCCCCTGAGCTCAGGTGTTGGACCATCACATCATGGGTTTGGGGGGTCCTGGGAGGGGTGCCCACAACACCAACAGCTCTCCCAAGGTTCCATCTCCAAGCCCCTCTGTCCCCACTGCTCTCACAGGTCAAGACACAGCTGCAGGCCCAGACAGTGGCCGCCATGGCCGTGGGGCACCAGCACCATCACCAGGTGAGACCCACCACTCCCCAGAGCCCTCTGGACTGGGCTAGGTGGGCTGGCTGGGCTCCCAGGCTGGACAGGGCTGTCCAGTGACCCGAGCCCTCTCCCCACAGAGTGTCCTGGGCGCCTTGGAGACTATCTGGCGGCAGCAGGGCCTGGCAGGACTGTGGCGGGGTGTGGGTGGGGCTGTGCCCCGTGTCATGGTGGGTTCAGCTGCCCAGCTGGCCACCTTCGCCTCTGCCAAGGCCTGGGTGCAGGAACGACAGGTGAGGGTCTGGGGACACCTGTGTCACCCACACAGACACACAGGAGTGGGCGGGACCTGCCTCCTTTCTCCACAACTGTTTGTACCATCTCCCCAGACATCCCTCACTGGCCCCCAACAGGAGGAATTTGAGGGGGTTATGACAGACACCCTGCCTCTGCCCTTGGGGTCATGACTCTGGCCTTTGGGCCCAGCAGGAGTAGGGGTCAGCAGTGAACCCTGAAGCTGTGAAGGAGCTCGCGGTGGTGGAGTGGGGGTTGGGAATGGCTGGAGGGCCCTGTCTGCTCCTTTTGCCCCAGTTCTTCTGGCCCCCATGCCCTGGGAGTAGGGAGGCCGCCACGTGGCTGAAGGGTGGTTGCAGGGATCAGCAGCTCGTGCCATCCCCACAGTGGCTCCCGGAGGACAGCTGGCTGGTGGCCCTGGCTGGGGGCATGATCAGCAGTATCGCTGTGGCCGCAGTCATGACACCCTTTGATGTGGTCAGCACAAGGCTGTACAATCAGCCCGTGGACAGAGCTGGCAGGGTGAGCTGGGGACTGGGGTGGGGAGGATGTGGGGAGCTGGAGAGCACACACACACACAGACACACACAGAGCCTCAGACACATGATATACATGCAGCACATTAGTTCAGCTTGTTTGCTGAGCACCTCTATCCCATGCCCATGCTAATTGCTCTAACATCCGGATCTTATTCCATTCTTGCAACAATCCCCATTTTCCTGATGAGCAAACTGAGGCTCAGAGAGATGCTGTGACTTGGCTGAGGTCAGCCAGCTAGTAGGTGGAAAAGCCAGAATGGGAATCCAGGCCCGACTCCACAGCCTTCCCGTGGCACTGCCAGCCTCACTCTCCAGATACACATTGGGCCCTGTCGTATGATGGTGCAAGCTGTGCCCAATAGAGGTGACTGTCACAGGGCAAGTTAGGGCTGACACTTGTCAGTATGCTACTAACCACACCGAGCCCCTAGCATGGGACTGAGGCTACCTGCAGGAAGGGCCCCTTTTCTAGTTTTGCAGCCCAGAAGGTCACCTTTTTGTAATTTGCCCAACGGGAGTGGGAAGCTGCCTTTTTCTGATTAGCGCAAAGGCACTGTATGTGCCAGCCCTGTACACACAGACACACTTGGTGTGCCAGCCAGGGACCTCACAGCCCTTGTAGTGATGCCCACCCATGTTCTTCCCCAGGGCCAGCTGTATGGGGGCCTTGCCGACTGCCTGGTGAAGATCTGGCGGCAGGAGGGCCCCCTGGCGCTGTACAAGGGCCTGGGCCCCGCCTACCTGCGGCTGGGCCCCCACACCATCCTCAGCATGCTCTTCTGGGATGAGCTCCGGAAACTGGCCGGGCGGGCCCAGCAGCAGGGCACCTAGGCATCCCCCACCACTGCCCGGGCACTGACGCAGCTGGGTACTCACCCGGAGCCACAGCCCACCATGGCAGGGGCCTGCCCTCCTAGAGCCGGCCACCAGAGAGAGTGTGGACAGCTGTGGTCCGCCCAGCCTCACAACCCAGCCAGGGCCACAGCATCTGCCCCGAATCACCGCCTACTCTGTTCTCCTCCAGAAGGTTCTCTTCCCTCTGTGTACAGGGTTAACTCATCCCAGAGCCTTACTTACTGTTATAATAACTGCTCGGGGGCACAGAGCACTCACCCTGAGCTGGGTGACTGGCCTGCATCAATTCGCCTAATCTTCAAACAGTATGAAAAAAACCAAGCCAAACCGGTTGCCATCAAGTCAGTGCTAACTCTTGGTGACCCCATGTGTGTCAGAGTAGAACTGTGCTTCACAGGGTTTTCAATGGCTGATTTTTCGGACATAGGTTGCCAGGCCTTTCTTCTGAGACACCTCTGGGTGGACTCGAACTTCCAATCTTTTAGTTATCAACTGAGTGCATTAACTATCTGAACCACCCAGAAACTTCCAGTTTTAAAACCAGTTGCTGTGGAGTCAATTCCCACTCACAGCAATCCTGTAGGACAGAATAGAACTGCCTCATAGGGTTTACAAGGCTGTAATCTTTATGGAAGCAGACTGCCCTATCTTTCTTACACGAAGTAGCTCATGGGTTCAAACTGCTGCCTCTGTGCAACCAGCGCTCCTTAACTAATACATTACTTCTCACTCCAAACAGTATGAAACAGGTAAAATCCTCTTTAACCAATGAGGAAGCTGAGGCTCAAAGAGGTTAAGTAGCTTTGACCAAAGCCATGCAACTCTGAAGTGGCAGAGCCAGGCCTGGAACTCAACTCTGACCCCAGACCTATGCGTTTGAGAGGAGCACTGCAGTGCCAGGACCTTGGGTAACTGGAGTGCCCCTTAGGGATCACTGTACCCATGAGGAGGCCCTGGGGTGCACCATGAGGCCGGGGCATCTCAACTTAGGCTTTTATTGATGGCCTCCCAAGGTGCCCAGCTCTGTGGGCGCATTTGCACATATTTTCTAGATAGTTCTGAAAGGGAGCTCTTGTGATCCTCGTTGTTCAGATAATGAGACTGAGGCCCAAAGAAGGGAAGTGACTTACCCAAGATGAGTAGATTAGCTAGGTATCCTCATCCTGGGCTCCTTCCCTGAACTCCAGCAACACTACCCCCATGGATGTCTTCTTAAGGCTCTGCGCTGGTCTTTGTGTTACAGAAGTGAGCACTGAGTCCCTGGAAGGGTAGGACCAGCCCAGGGTCAAGCAGCCTGAGCCACCTTCCCCCCATACCCAAGTCTGCCAAGAGCTGCTCCCAGGAGCACCTCTTCCCCACCAGCCCCCTCGCCACTCCAAATCAATAAAGTTTTCTATTTTGTTTACTCTGATGACTCCCCTCAGCTGGCAGCCTCAGTCTCCCTCATCCCTGAACCCCCTCTCTCTGCTCTTTCTGTCTGGGAAAAGATTCCTGGGGGCCCAGCCCCACCCCATCTGACCCAGGTGGTGAGGTCTGCCACCTAGTGGACACAGGGAGGAACGTCATAAGCGGGCAGCCCCAAGGCTGAGAGAGCATAGGGCGCAGAGCTGGACTTGAGAAGAGTGAATCATAAACTGCTGCTGTGGGAGGATCACCTCCAGACCCCTCAGTGAAAGGGCAGAGCCACACCCCAGACCTCAGAAGGATAGACTGACATCAGGCTGTGGAGGCATAGACCCCCAAACCTGGAGCTGACAGAGTAGAGCTGGACCTTGAGCTGTTGGGGATTAGACCCCAGACCTCAGGTTTGGAGGATAGACACCCACACCTCAGCCTTTGAGGGATAGACCCCTAGACCTTAGCTGTGGGGGATAGACACCCCAGACCTCAGGCTTTGGGGATAGACCCCCAGACCTCAGGCTGTGTGTGGATAGACCCCCAGACCTCAGGCTGTGGAAGACAGACCCCCAGACCTCAGGCTGTGTGAGGATAGACCCCCAGACCTCAGGCTGTGTGAGGATAGACCCCCAGACCTCAGGCTGTGGAGGGATAGACCCCCAGACCTCAGGCTGTGTGATAGACTCCCCCAGACCTCAGGCTATGTGGATATAGACCCCCA